GTGAATCTGAATGTGATCTGCCGCATGCATACCATTTAACTATTTAACCAATTGCAAAAAGGAAGCCAATTCTTGATACAGATGATGTGGAGCGATTTTGAGTGTACATGTAATTATTTTGCTCATTCTGTAGGCGGCGCTAATGCTGGAATTTAATGTTTTTTGAGTTTCAGCTGACCTAGAAGCAAAAGTGGAACAACTTTGTGTATGTAAATGAAAACAAACTTGCTGTCCACTGCTCGCACACCGTCTAACCAATCACAATGCTGCATTTTCATGTTTTATACTTTCATGATTTGTGTTTAACACTGGATTTCTTGTGAAACTGGATTTCTTGATTCAGGGCTATACAAGAATAAATTGAATTAAAATGATTGTAAGTGAGCGTAAAATTCAGATTGTACACAAATGTTCTGTGCCCGACCTCAGCCTGTTTTCATACGGTCTTTATTAAGAGCTCATGGAAATTTGCAAAGACGGTAAATCTCCTCAGAGCCCACTTTGCTGCATCTCCTGGTGGGTCTGCAGTGTTGTGAGAACATAGAAGAGGCGCTCATGTGTGCAGACAGATAGGACGGCCCTGATCCCCACAGCTTATATGGAGAAGAAGCCTCGGTGGAAAATCATTATGTAACTCATACAAAGCAACGGGAGGTTCAAATGTTCAAACAGACTTTAATAATGACTGAGGATTGTATTTCCCATTTGATTAAAAATATCAAATGTCTTTCCCTGTTGGACAATCACAACAGGTCAGATTTAAAGGGCAAATATTACGCATTATTATCTTATTTTTTTATAAGGCAGATGCAGGAGGGTGTAAGGACACTGGTGATGATCCAGGACACTCGACATTCAACGACTTGTATTAACATTTATGGACATTGGTCATCTGCGTGTTTGAACTATTTGATTCTCTGATACGTGGCTGGTGAATCGATGGTTTTGTAAAGTCCTCTGAGATAACGTCTGTTGTGATTTACTGTAGGGCTATACAAAAATATTGAATTGAATCTTTTCTCAACAATCTTTGGGACTTTGTTTACATACATGATGATCATAAAAGTATCTATCTGAACATACACTTTAACATTACATCATACCCATTGCATTGTTTATAAGTAATCATTCAGAATAACTCCATCGGCGGTAGCAGCTTAGTTAGTAGTGTGTCCTCTGTGCTGAAGGTTGGTGGTTCGAATCCTGCTCCCAACATTAACAGCATTGATAGAGTGGTCTGATCTGCTGACACGGGTTACAGGTGTGAAACCAACTAATATTTGTGATTGCTGCTGTGTGTCCTTGGGCAAGACACTTATCCCAGCTCGCCCCCAGCGTGTCTGCACACACTGATGTGTGAATATGTGGGTAAATGGGTGATTGGTTCCCTGATTGGAAGTGCTTTGAATTTTTTTTTTTAACCACTTTAAACTGTTGTTCATAAATATAAAAAGGTGTTGAGTTCATTTTAAAGAATGAGTCCCAGGTAAGAGTTTCTCTCATTTTATTTTATCTTAAATTTATTGTCTATTATCTTAAATAATAGACTTTGATGTGTGCAATCTGAGTGCTCTTATTTCCTTTCTCTGCTGTAATGTGCGCAACGATGACACTGAAATTTCTCCACTGTGAGACTAATAAAGGTTTATCTTATCTTATCTTAAAATGACATACTGTCCCTGTAATTGCTCCAAAAATTAAACATGTTTTTTTCAACAAAAAAAACATTTTCTAAAAGAGAACTTCCATTCTATCAGAACAAATGGATTCTAGCCCCAAGTACTCCGAGCAGATGATTATTCTATGCTATTCCCAGATGGTGCAAAGCATTATGGGTAATATGCAAATCAACTGTTTTGGTTGATTCACTACTTGCATAACATATTTGATGGAGCAGTAGTTATGATCACAGTCTAAAAGTTTAAGTGCGTATGCTTTCTTACATATGCACTTACAGTTTAGTCCCCATGGTAAAGATAAAGGTGGTATACTTGCTTCTTTATATATATATAATTTCCCCACAGTAAAATTAATAAAGGATCTCTTAATCATAAATATGGAAAAAGGCATATAGCTGACCACTGTATGTATAGTAGACCACTGTATAGTATACTAGATACTCAGAAGCACTAAGCACTAAAGCACCAAAATAAATAAATGATGTTGAATTGAACATTGATAATAAGCACACAAATCAAGTAATAATAAAAAATATTTAGAAACCAAGAAAGTCTTATTTCATGCTCAAAAAGGAGTGGGTAGAAGTAGAAACTTATTTAATCCCACCCATACCTCCATCCTTCTTTGAGCTGTTTAAGTTACAATCATGCATGGCCACTCCATTCGTTTCACCAGGTTAGAAATGTGCAGGAGATCAAAACACTTTGTATTACATAATGACAAAGGCGGAACACGGTGTAACGAAAGCCATAAGTTGCATTGGTAATATAGAAGAGATCAGAGAGAAACACAACCGAAAAGGAAATGAACTCTGCGCTTCTCTAAACTCCCACACTCCGGAGATCTGACCGGAAATACCAACGCACAAACACACGCACACATCTTTGATAGGACGCTCAGTTATGTGACGATCCAATTCGCTCTCACTCACTTCAGAATACCACAAAACAGAACACACAGACACAGAACACAAGCCCAGAAGCACTCTCTGACCATACAGATCCCTCCTACTACTATGCGCAGAAGGAATTGCTCTTTCTTTCTAATACTTCTTCAATATTGGTATTCATTTTTATGTCCATTAAACTGCTCACACACAGCTAGACTTCCTGGGGTAAAGCAAAGTGCATTAACAAAATACATGATAATAATAATAAAATAAAAAGCACATTTACAAAGTTAGAATTACTGCTGAATCCTATTTGAACATGTTTTTAAATCATCTGTTAATTTATTCATCTCGTAACTCCTTCCACTGAAATACTAATGGACTTTAAAATAGTTCTTAAAGTAGGCACATAGTTTGTTTACTTCCTCTTATACTGTAAAAATGGTATAATAAATGTCTCTAATATAGTTTGGGAGTATATAGTATGTTAAGAACTGGTCCTACAGTGTATACTGTAAGTGCAGTGAAGGATGATCATTTGTGAGTTACAGATTGTGCAAGCTGTCTCACTAAGAAAAAAAAAGAGAGAGGGTTTAAGTTTCATCATATACAGTACATACACCAAACCTACTGTGAGGCATGGGGGTGGAAACATGGTGGTTTGGGGCTGCTAGTCTGCAAAGGGGATAGGACGACTGATGAAGGGGGCCAATACTATTCTAATCTCTGAAATACTTTGAAACATTTTAACCTAAAAATGTAATCATAATAAAACATTTGCATAATTGGACACTTTGACATTTTAATCGGTTTGTTTTTTGGAATTTCATGAAGATCATTGTGAACGTTTGTAAGGATTTAATATTATTGGGCCTCATTCACGAACCGTTCTTCGGAACAAAAATCCTTCTTACAAGGATTGTACAAAGATTGTGGCATTCATGATTTTTTCTCGTATCCAGAATTTCTCTTGGGTAAGAACAAATCCTACGAGTGCTCAGGAGCACTCTTTAGCACCTTCAGTGCCGACATGTTGGTGCTGGTGTTGTTTACCTTTGTTAAGGTCAATAAAATACATTACAATGATATGTCTGTCATATTGATATATGTAATTATTCATTTAATATGATAATTTAGCCAATTTTTTAATTTATCTTTAAAGACCTTATGCCGGGTTTAAAAAAAAAAAAATGTGGATATCAAAATTGCATGACAATGTCAATCTGAAAGAGATTCCGGCAAAAAAAATCCTACATTATATAAAAAGAACGTGTTTTTCATGAATTTAAGTTGTCTATGCTCTAACCTGTGTGTGACGTCATAGCGGGTAACCACACAGGACTGCCTTTTCTCTCTTCTCTCCACTGATGCCCAACACAATACTGCACTCTACAGGTGACAATTGCTCACTACACATAAATTGCCGTTTTGAGAGTGAAAAAGTGTCTGAGGTGGGATTTGAACCCCAGTATCTGGATTGGCAGTGCATCGACACAACCACTGGACTATCTCAGTGCCATATCTGCGAGAAAGAACGAATACCAAATTCTAAACAACTTACAGCGTTGAAACGTACCCACTCTGACGTCACCAAGGGCTGTGAAGTTTTTTCGTCTCTAAGGGCGTTGCTATGGGGTTATTTCGATTTGGGGGGGATCAGACAAAAAAAACAACAACTGATTTTGAAACCTTTAGTAGTTCTCTTCTAATATAAAATGGTATTAAAACTGTATTTCTAAATAAATCAAACCCGGCATAAGGTCTTTAAATTAAATGTGCTATGCCGTCCATTAGTGACGCCATCCTGTTTATAGGGTGCATTTCTCCATTCACGGGCCACAAAACAATGGCATATAATACTGCTGCAGGGGGTTGCGGGTTCGTGCTGAGTCTCTGCGCTGGTTTCTCCCATGGATCTATTACGGGTTTGTGCTGGTCTCTCCAGTCTGGTCTCTCCTCGGGTGTGCATTGGTCTCGGCGCTGTTCCGCGCTGGATCTCCTCCCAGGGTCCAAAATATTTTGTGATTAATCTCATACAATTTTAAGAACAACTTGAGAAGAAATTTAAGAAGATTCTTAAGAAGACATTGGTGAATGAAGCCCATTGTTCTTATGCGTGTGTGCCGTTTTGTTGATACAAGGCGATCATGAAAAACAGCCTCATTGAGCCCTTCCTGGGTAAATAAAGATAAACATATGAAACTGCCTTTAGAAAGTGATTCTCAAGCTCCTCCTGCTGGTGTAAGGAGCTGGTTTTACTGTGATACGTTAGTCTTGCCCTAAGGGAGGCAATAACATGAGATTGTCTGTGCTTGCTTTTGGGCTTGCATGGCTCTTTCAACATTATGACTGTTTCTCTTGAGAAAAAGTTGGTCTTTGTGTTTTTATAGCGTAAAACGGTATTGATGCATCCAGAGGTGGTGATTCATACCAGTGATCTCCACAGTCATGGTGACCCGACTCCCGTCCATCACCTTCAGGTCAGACAGGCACTTCACAAAGTGAGGACCTTCACCCACGGATCTGGACTCCTGACCCTCACTGCGGCCTGAGAAAACACATAAAAATACAAAAATATACAAGGTAAAGTGTGGTAATGTGTGTAAGTGTTTGTGTCATTGGCTGTTATGTGTTTTGTTGGAGGGCATTGTAGGGTTTTGATTTTTTGTTTTGTTTTGTATTGTAGTAAGTCTGAATGGATGGAAGGGGATTGGAGAAATATAAGCTTTTTGCTTCGACAACTTCCTTTACAAACCATGCACAGGTTTTATTGTATTATCTTACTATTTGTATGTGAATAATTGTTTGAGTGATAACAAAGTCAAAAGATCTCTGCAGTTAGTTTGGTTATTAATTATTCAATAACAAGATCAGAGTTAGATTTGAAAAGCCTATGAGTATGGGCTTGTAGTGTCTGCTATTATATAGCTTTAGCTGTATTAGATTGAAGACACAAACACATACATTTTTGTAAATTTCTACAGTGTGAGATTAATAAAGTCCAGTTCATCCCATCTTAAATGTAATACATCAAAGATATATTACATATAAAAAATGTATTTGTGACCAATTACTGACTCTACGAATCCTTCTCTGCGATCAATAAGGAAGTGGAGGAAGGAAGGAAGATCTGGAAGGACAATGAGGGCCTGATGTGAGACCCGCAGGGAAGACTCGAGATGCAGAGTTTGACCAGGACTAGTTTACCAGATTATCAAATGGCATATTCATTTACGCTGACAACATCCGTAAGACCCCTGTGCTTAACGTGTTCTTTGTCATTTTGCCATCCTCATTCACGGAGCTGACCCAGGCTGAAAGCACTAGGCTTGAATTCGACTTAATGTGTTCTGATTATGTCAAACTCTTTCTTTAATACATAACTCAGAGTGCATTCCTTCTCCAACACCATCTACTGGTTTGTGCGGGAAACCTGATCTTCTGTTGATAGAAGATAGACCAGGCTTTTTAGAATAAATTCGACCAACACAAAAGGTAAAAGGATGATGGTGGAGAGACAACCTCTTTATGAAGACTTCTGTTATAATAATATATCAATCAATCAAGATGTTCATTTAAAAACCTGCACAACATAATTTTACAGAACAACATCACAGACAAAGTTTTGAAAAGGGGTTGGATACATTCAACACAGAGATAAGATGAATTGGAACAAAAACGTCAAGACAATATAAAAGGTAATACATAACATTACAGTAAAATAACATCAGTAGTTGTTTAATAAATAAAACAACTACTAAAATACTGTACTTTGAGCTTGTTTTTTATCTACTTGTCTGGTGCACACTGGAGTACTTTACATTTCCTTCAAATGTGGTTTTACTAAAAAAAATTTAAGAAAATAAATAAATATGAATTTGGCCCAAGTCCATACATCTAGATCAGGGGTGCTCACACTTTTTCAGCATGCGAGCTACTTATAAAAGGATCAAGTCAAAATGATCTACCTACTACAAAAATGCAAATCATATATTTATTTCAAAAAATATTCTTTATACCTACAATGTATGTTTATGTACATGCAAAACCGCATGAGCCAATTTAGCACAACACAACACAATTACCTATGTACATTTTTTGTCATTACCCAAGTTTACTCTGATGACTTGCACTGAATTGAATCGGCCAGGGATGCATAGTCCGGAAAATTGGTGGTAACTCGCTGACAAGTTTGTCGTGGTTTAGCTTTCCTGCACTGAGCGCGGTTGTTTGCGCATGTGCAGTCACCTAAGTGTCAGTAAAACATTACTGAGTAAAACACAAATGTAATTTTACTGTGGTGCCATGTCCATGTGCCATGCCTGTTTTTTTTAAATCCAAATATTTCCCCTCCTCAGTTTATAAAATAATTTGCATCCACACATCTGCGTTATCAATCACATTCGTAACATTCCAAACATGTGCGTCTCTTACGTCCTGTCCTGCGTTGGGGAAAAACACAGAAGTGGGCGGAGCTTTGATGCAGATGCCGGTAACGGCACTTTTACAGTCATAGAAGACTAAAGACGTATGTTTACAAGCACTGACCCCGTCCTCAGCCCTGATTTAGTCCTGGTTTAGTCCTGGTTTAGTCCTGGTTTGGTTGTTTTCGAGCGTGAGTCCCCGCGATCACTTTGCTGCTCTCTGATGTGGAGCGAGGATGTTCGCTGCTGCGAGCATCACAGCGAACAGTTTTTAAGGTAGTATGATCCATGCTTCAGTGATCAGAGGAATTTAGGGGGGTACTGTGGCGTGCGAGAACGCAAAACTCCGGTTATCTCTGTCTACACACAAATGCATTAACGGAGTTTTCAAAAATCTCCACTTTGCCCGGAGTTTTTTGTATATATTCGTTTAGAATGTGTAATTTTTTCATTTATTTAATGCGATCTACCAATACTACCTTTGCGATCGACTGGTAGATCGCGATCGACGTATTGAGCACCCCTGATCTAGATGTTCCAAAGTGAAATAACTTTATTCATCCCACTTTGTTTATAGTTGGGACCTCCTAACTTTCCATCCACAAAATAACTATGTAATAAAACCCATGTGACGAGTCCTATCTTTCGATGAGCTTTTTAGATAGAAAAGTTAAATGCACAACCACCCTCAAACAGCCCATCAGAAGAAGAAAGCAAGTTCTGGTCTCAATTGTTTGCAACATTTTAGAGCTGCAACTAACGATTATTTTGTAAATCGATTAATCTATCGATTATTTTTACGATTAATCGAGTAATCGCTTGGCTGTGAATTGTGTAGAAAAAAAATATTTTTTCATCACAAAAAGCTAAAGTGGCAACACTCGAGGAAGTAAATGTTTGTAACAGGCTCTTTGTGCTAATTCTGCTATCTGATTGGATGAGACAGACAGATATTCATGAAATTATAAAAATAAAGTCAGTTTTAATCAAAAATACTACATTTTCATGTCATTTTTGCTCTGTTTGAGTCCGTGTGAACCAGAAAACGATTAATCGATTACTAAAATAGTTGTCAACTATTTAAATAATTGATTAGTCGTCGATTAATCGATTAGTTGTTTCAGCCCTACAACATTTTACTTACATCTTTCTGTTGGGACAAACGTAATGTATTATTTATGAAACAGAAAGTTGGATAACTCCAGTTTTAGATAACGTTTCTTTGCGGCTAGAAAAGAAAAAGCTGCACAAGCAAAAGTTCTCATATATTTGGACACACAGCCTCAGCACTGGCTCGGTCTTTGATTACAGAGCTGTGGTGGCTTTATAAGGATCGCGGATCTGCTCCAGAGCAGGAAATCCCCACAGGAGAATCCCACAGACACAGCCACTCGACCCCGAACGAGCAGAGTCCAGAGACACTTCATCAGACAGTTTAAACTCTGTGCCTGGAAGCAGAGATTTAAACTGCGACATTGGTCAAACAGATAAGGAATGAATGTTAATGAGGCATATGCAAACACAAAACAAGATGCAAAGACGCTCGCAGATGCATAGTGTGTGTACGGCCGTCCTAGTTTTGATGGAACACTGCAGAAAATAATTGCAATAAACTATATTAAATGTATTTGTCTATTAGAAATGTGTCAATAAAAATCAGGAAATATGATAAAACACAAGATAGTTGTTATTTGTATTCTAATGACCTTTATCGAGAGACAGTAACCAGCTCGACTGCTCGATCAGGAAATGTGTTTCTGTGATGGGAGAAGTGTGGACTGTTGGAGCTGTTCTGGATTGAAGGATGAGGGCTCTAATGCAGGGCATCTTGGGTAACTCCAGACACCCTCTGCATGACACTATGGCCGCTCAGAGGAGTAATTGTAGCAACAGGCTTATATCACTGCTCTGCCAAACGGAAAGTTTTAAGAGATCCTTTGTTCCTTCAGCTGTCAGACAATAGAGGTCTGTTGTACGCAGTCACGGGGAGAACGTGCAAACTAAAGTCAGAGAGGCCTTTCTAAGAGTTAGAATGGAACCCAGGACATTCTTGTAGAGAATTGCAAGAAGGAGTGCTCAAACTCGCTCTTCTACATCTAAAATGTGAAATGAAACATGTACAAGAAATACATAATGTTGTTTGAACAATAAGTCAAACACTCAACTGTTATCGACTTATTGTTCCAAAATTGATGAATAAAAACAGTTTTGGAACAATAAGTCGATAACAGAGATGATCCAGGACATTCGACATCATTGAGGCCAATACATAAACATTTATTGACATGAATCATCTGCCCTGTATGAAACAATGGTCCCATTTTTTTTTATCATTGCATTTCCTGTGTTTGGACTGTTTGATTATCTGAATCCAAATTGACAACTTTGTTAAGTCCTCTGAGATGACTACTGTTACTGGTTTAGGGCTATACAAAAAATAAATTGAATTGAATTGATAAGAGCAATTTTTGTGACAGGCCTAACTGTGTGTAGAATACTATATAGAATAGATTAATAGAATACTTGCTCAAGGTGTACTCAGTAACCTTTCTGGTGGGGAATTTATCAAGTCTTTTTGTCAGGAGAAAGCCAGAAACAACCAAGTAATAAATCTTTAATTGCATAAATGATTGTTGAGATAATCATCATCTAGTTTTGCTTAAAAAGGGGACATTTCTCTCATGATCACAGTAGGGCCAAAGTCGCCTCTTCCTTCTGAGGAGGCTGAGGTCCTTCGGAGTGAGCAGGCCTTTGCTCAGGACTTTTTATGACTCTGTGGTAGCCTCTGCCATACACTACGCTGCCGTATGCTGGGCCCCGGGCAGCACAGAGCGGGACAGGAGCAGATTGAACAAGCTGGTCAGGAGGGCCAGCTCCACTCTGGGCTGCCCCCTGGACTCTGTGGAGGAGGTGAGGGACAGGAAGGTGCAAGTCAAAGTCACCTCCATCATGGACAACACCTCCCACCCACTGCACAGGACTATACATGAGCTGGAAGACTGAGGCACCCTCAGTGCAAGGAGGAGCGCTACAGCAGGGCCTTTATCCCCACTGCTGTCAGACTGTACAACAAGTCACTTTAAGTCACTGCATTAAGACTGAAAAAACCTACACTACTATTGAC